CTACACACACCCTGGAGATGTATGATTAACTAAAGTGGGTTCTGCCAATTGCCTTGCAAGTTCGAGGGTTCGCGAAAACCAAAGTTTCTTCCAAATCCCACTGAAGTAATTAATTATCAAAAGAAGGCACCAAGCCGGGAAGGCTATGTAGCACCATCAAATGTGCGGGACAATCACAGGGCGCTAAATATCACTAACGATGCCAATACGAGAACAGAAACGCATAAGGCGAACGATATCGAAGGTATCCTATTCACCAAGAATTCTATCGAGGGACAAGTGACCGCGAGGGACGGTCGGGAAGCAAGACACGCTCGTCCTGGAAGTCAGGACATTCAACAAGGATATGCATGACTAAGAGGGACAATAAGGAGCCGGGCGACGCTCCATCAAGTGTTCGTGAGTTAAGCGTGTATGGTCAATACGTAACCTAGCCAGAGCTGTTTCCCATCAACGGTGGGAACGGTGGTAGGAGGAAGGCCACGGGGACACACTACTCTTAAGAGCCCGCAGTTTGTTATCAGTAACAGAAGACCAACGACCCTGCCAACGGGTAAGGATGGAGGAATGAATAACTGGGTAAAAAGTCAGAATAAGGAATACCCTTACGGGAGATGGGACAAGTGCGGATAGCTTCCCTAGCGGCAGCGTCCGCACGCTCATTTAAAAGAGACACCAATATGGCTGGGAACCCAGCAAAACTCAACTCTCTTAAATCTACTGGAGATAACAGCCAATGTTGAATCTCGACGACCACCTGATGGACTCGATTAAAGGACTCCAGAGCCATGTTGGCGCTGCGAGAGTCAACTACCACCACAAAGGAAGATTGACAGCGAGGAAAGCAGTTGACGAAGAGCATAGAGAATAGCATAAAGTTTTGCCGTGAAGATGCTAGTCTCCTGAGGCAGGTGACGCATATAAGTGTGGTCAGGAAAAACAACAGAGTAGCCAACACCGTCTGCAGACTTAGACCCATCGGTGAAGACGAGAACAGAGAGAATGTGAAAATAAGTGTTCAAGGAAAAGACGTTTCAGAACTGTAGGAGGGGTAAAAGCTTTAGTCACGTGGGTCAAAGTTTTCCAAAATTTAGTAAGGGGATTTACTTCATGGGGGGAAAAACCCACTGAAGTAAAACCAAAAATATCCTGGCCCACTAAGGTATACATATTAATACATAAGTTGTACAAGGTATTTTATAGATATTACCAACGTGATTTACAGGAAATTTGTGAACAAACTCCAGGGATTTGCAGGCATATCCCTCGTGATTAGGATACAACCTACAGTAGTTCACAGGTAACCTCTCGGTGATTTAAAGCACGAAGTTTCCATGATTTACAGTAAAGTGACGTTACTTCCTCTGTGGCTGGTGTGGCGACTCCAACCTCTGAGGTGTAGAGTAGCTCATAATGTTGACCTGTGTTGCTGTGCTCACCGGAATGTGAGCTGGTCACCGTAGATATATAAAGCCATACATATCCAACACAGTACTTCCGACAATGTGTTGCAATACACCAATGGCGGGAAACATGCACATTTGAAGTCCAGTAAACAAGTATAAAGTGAAACAAACACAAAACAAAAAGAGATACGCACATTGATAATCTTTAACATTGATGAAGTTTACACACTCAACATCACACACACACACACACACACACACACACACACACACACACACACACACACACACACACACACACACACACACCACACACACCCACACACACACACACACACACACACACACACACACACACACACCCCACACACACACACACACACACACACACACACACACACACACACACACACACACACACACACACACACACACACACACACACACACAGTGAAACTGCTAGAAATGTGTTAACGGTGCGCACTATATTTTCTAGAGTGCTATAACTAAAACAAATACAGAGAGGTGACACAGCAGTAACCACCCACTAAAGCGACACATTTACAACAATAAAGTGTATAACCAGACACACACATAAAGACCTTTAACTTGCCACAATACACAACAGAGAAGTTCATTATAACATGATAAGATACGAGATAATTAAGACATATGTAGAGAAGTTTAAACACTTAACTGTACCAGGGTGAATAACGACCCCCTGGCAACATCTACCACACGACCTACTGTCAGGGGAGAGCTGGTGGGCGTGGCTGTGGGCGTTACTTACGGGCGGTGTTGAGGGTGGGGGCGGGAAGTTTGCGGGGTCAGTAAGCTCTGGGGGCGGGGCTGGAAAGTCTCCACCCACAGACACACACTCTGTTTCAGGGAGGCTGCCTTCTGCGACGCTCACAGCAGGCTCCTCCGTCTGTTCTTCCTGTTAGGGAAGGCAGGGGTCACTACGGCCGTGGCTGGCGATGGGTGTGTGGGCGTGAGTGAGGGGTGTGTCAAGGCGTTATAAAGCGTATGTATACAAGCGAGTTAAAGGCATGGGACGTACACACATCTGTGTACGTATTTATCGTGTGCATCAACGAGTGTGTGTCATCTACACATATACGCCAGTACCAACCAACAGTCTTGTGTTAAAACCTCTACGCTACGCTACGCCTCTACGGAGCCTAAAAGAAGGTCGTGGATATGTCAGAAATGAAAGTAGCGGTCTGACAGTTGTTTGAAATGTTCTTACAAGCCTGTAACAGGTGTCAGACAGATGTCAAACGTACACAATGTTCATCTCTCTCACCAATATACAGGATGTAGTTATAAAACACGCCAGGTACACAATGAATGCTGTCTCTCAAACAAGCAGGTGCCACGATACAGCTCCTGTACCCGGTGGTGGTGCCACCTGGGTATGGACAGCTCCTGTACCCAGCAGTGTTGCCACCTGGGTATGGACAGCTCCTGTACCCAGCAGTGTTGCCACCTGGGTATGGACAGCTCCTGTACCCAGTAGTGTTGCCACCTGGGTATGGACAGCTCCTGTACCCAGCAGTGTTGCCACCTGGGTATGGGCAGCTCCTGTACCCAGTAGTGTTGCCACCTGGGTATGGACAGCTCCTGTACCCAGCAGTGTTGCCACCTGGGTATGGACACCTAAGCAAGTCACACCCAACCCCTCATTCAGTTTTGAAGATGTTATTAAAACAAATAAGAAAGAACTTACCCGCAAGCTTGGGACGAAACACAGGTTACCAAGAGTGCTGCCATTCACTGCCAACATCATGTCTCCATTTCAAACCAATAAATCAGTACTTAACCTTTGACGAGCACATTATATAACACGTGAGTGGTTGAAGCACACAACCAACGGCGCAGCTCAGCTGGTACAGTCAACATTAAACTCCACGCTCTCAGTCCAATATAAAAACTTATTCGCTTTATGTGACTTTATTTGGTCGAGAAACTGGCTGGCTTTGTAATATTGTGTTGGCTCTCCTTGTGTTCCAATCCTGGTACTCCTCTCCTTAGTTGTTGCTCTCTTTCCCCTCTCTCTCTCATCTTCCTGTTGTTAGTGTTCTCTCTCTCTCTCTCTCCCCTTCCCCTTTAGTTTTATTTTTTCAGCTCTTCGTTTTTTCTATCTACCTAATTCAGTCTACTGTATTTTACAGAATTACATTATTTTTTCACCTTTCATACTTTGTATGATATTATGTATCATCACTATCTCTCTCTGGTTTTTTAGTCTTTAAAGTTTCTACACAAGAATGGTTGTGAGTGAGCGAGTGTGTGTGTGTGTGTGTGTGTGTGTGTGTGTGTGTGTGTGTGTGTGTGTGTGTGTGTGTGTGTGTGTGTGTGTGTGTGTGTGTGTGTGTGTATACACATTTCCCTTCCTACATCCTCCCTCCCTACGTTCACTCTCACCCTGCTTCCCTTCCCCCCCCCCCCTGTCCGTTACTCTCCCTTGTCCTACCTCAATGTCATTGTTCTTGCCTCTCTACTCTCCCCTTCTGCCCGCTTCACCTCTCTCCCACCTTACCTTCATCTCACATAACCTCAACAAATTTACCTTACAAGTCTCTGACTTTTATAGTTACCTCTCTAATACCATTCTTGCCCTCTCTCTCTACCTTAATCTCCCCAAATCCTTTCTCCTGCTGCCTAATACTCATTCATCTTTCCGTTCCCTTACCCTAATCTCTGCCAAATTCCTCCCTATCCACCAAGTTTTCGTCGTCTATAATATGCAAGAGGTGAGTGTAAGGCTGTTTTTATTAATTTTCTTTTAGAAGAGAGCGCCCCCTTTTCCTCAATAACCTATCCAGGTTGGCTAATACACACAAGTTTCTCCCGGTATGTCAACACTAGAAATGTCCTCTAGCAGGTACTAGTTACCTGGGGGGGGGGGAAGGTAACTAGTACCTGCCCCCCCCAGGTACGGTACCTGGTGGCAGTAGCATTTAGGTGTACTAGTATTCGTGGATGTCATGTTTGGTCGCATACACCTCGCTCTCACATTTGGTGGCGTTTCTGTAATATTTTCATGTTGGTGAATTTCTGATGTTGACAGAATTGCCACCGTTGTATGTCCACACAGATGTGGCTTTACCATGTGTGTGTGTGACACGGGTAAGTCCCTTCTGGAACGATCTTATGCTTAACTCTCTCCAGGTGTAGCACAGTCAACCCCTTCCGGGTATAAGAGTCAACTCTCTTCAGGTACGATAACAGGTAAACTCGTAATTTGTAACTGCTATCTGTGAACAAGATCACAAACGACCCCTTCAGGTTTTGCAACTATTAATGGCATAATTACGTTGAGAGCGTTGAAGATAATTGCCTTAATTGACCGATAATTAGATTAATTAAGGACAGAAAAGAAAGACATTAGTGAGACTCATCTTGTGAGGAGCACTTTATGAGAACCACCCAATGAGACCTACCTTGTGAGGGGACCCTTCTTGCAAGACTTACCTTGGGACACCTATTTTGGAGTAATCCACCTCGTGAGAGGTCAACGCTGCGACAGTTTCCGGGTGGATCCAGACACCTACCTTGTGAGAGAGCTTCCGGGTGGATCCGGACACCTACCTTGTGAGAAAGCCGCCGGGTGGGTCCGGGGAAGGACACGTCGCGGAGTCTAGCGTAGTCTCCGTCGCTGTCGGACGTCTCAGACTCAGAGAGGTTGTGGAGCACGTCGGGGCACTGACCTCTCCCGGAGTCTCGCTTCCTGCAGGCACACAACACCCCGTCTCTTAGTACTAGGTCACCCTTGTCTGCCACACACACACACTTGTATACAAGAGTGAGAAGACCTGTTCAACAGTAGAAGATAAAAGGGAAGCGGATTCTAGCTTGAGAAAAGGAATAAGACATAGGAGTAGACTCTGAGATTGGTATATACAAATGTAAACCCGAAATGCAAGCCTAAGTTACATAATTTTGTGATAATTGCTTGGAAGAATGTAATCAACACACCAGCCTATATATATATATGTCGTACCTAGTAGCCAGAACTCACTTCTCAGCCTACTATGCAAGGCCCGATTTGCCTAATAAGCCAAGTTTTACTGATTTAATATATTTTCTCTAATTTTTTTCTTATGAAATGATAAAGCTACCCATTTCATTATGTATGAGGTCAATTTTTTTGTATTGGAGTTAAAATTAACGTAGATATATGACCGAACCTAACCAACCCTACCTAACCTAACCTAACCTATCTTTATAGGTTAGGTTGGGTTAGGTAGTAGGAAAAGTTAGGTTAGGTTAGGTAGGTTAGGTAGTCGAAAAAACATTAATTCATGAAAACTTGGCTTATTAGGCAAATCGGGCCTTGCATAGTAGGCTGAGAAGTGCGTTCTGGCTACTAGGTACGACATATATATATATATATATATATGTCGTACCTAGTAGCCAGAACTCACTTCTCAGCCTACTATTCAAGGCCCGATTTGCCTAATAAGCCAAGTTTTCCTGAATTAATATATTTACTATAATTTTTTTCTTATGAAATGATAAAGCAACCCTTTTCTCTATCTATGAGGTCAATTTTTTTTTATTGGAGTTAAAATTAACGTAGATATATGACCGAACCTAACCAACCCTACCTAACCTAACCTAACCTATATTTATAGGTAAGGTTAGGTTAGGTAGCCAAAAAAAGCTAGGTTAGGTTAGGTTAGGTAGGTTAGGTAGACGAAAAAACATTAATTCATGAAAACTTGGCTTATTAGGCAAATCGGGCCTTGCATAGTAGGCTGAGAAGTGCGTTCTGGCTATTAGGTACGACATATATATATATATATATATATATATATATATATATATATATATATATATATATATATATATATATATATATTGTTCTATCACAATCATACACACAACTCTTAACAAAGTCCCATTTTCTGTAGATAATGTTTACACTTTTTACTATGTGGAGATAGTTCCCAGAACCCCTTAACTTTTAATCAGAAAATAGCCGAGTAACTCTGAATAAGCTGCGTTAATTACTCGCTATACCTCGTAGTCTTGGAATTAGCAGGGTGGCATATCTTTACGACATTTCTAGCTTTGGCTTAAGTTTTCTCAGCGAGGGGTTCCATGCACTCACAGGGCTGGGACTGAAGTGAAGGTGTATGCAAGACTCTGAAGGTACCTTTGGTCAAATGTACCACTGACGGTACTCTGGTACTGTGAATGTACCACTGACGGTACTCTGGTACTGTGAATATACCACTGACGGTACTCTGGTACTGTGAATGTACCACTGACGGTACTCTGGTACTGTGAATGTACCACTGACGGTACTCTGGTACTGTGAATGTACCACTGACGGTACTCTGGTACTGTGAATGTACCACTGACGGTACTCTGGTACTGTGAATGTACCACTGACGGTACTCTGGTACTGTGAATGTACCACTGACGGTACTCTGGTACTGTGAATGTACCACTGACGGTACTCTGGTACTGTGAATGTACCACTGACGGTACTCTGGTACTGTGAATGTACCACTGATGGTACTCTGGTACTGTGAACTTTTCACTGCATAGTTTAGGTTACGTCCCTTCCTCAAAGTCTTTCTACATTTCCGATGCAAAAATATCTGTCTTCCCTTCACACCATGTTACTGTAACAAACTAACTGTTGTAGGAATGATCTAGAATGTTTTATCTCTGACATAGGAGAATGGGAAGCTGGACCCACGTGGGGACCTGACCCAGCAAGGTCGCATCCCCTGGGGGATTGGCGGTGAAAATAACTGGCGCCTTTGTTCACAGTTGGATATTCTCAGTCACATTCATATACTCATACCTATGCATTTGATTGTATTTACTTTTTGCAGTCCTTTTAAGACCACCACTAGGGTGTGTAAAGATTCCTTTGTAGGGTATAACAGTCCTTCAAGTGTGTGTGTGTGTGTGTGTGTGTGTGTGTGTGTGTGTGTGTGTGTGTGTGTGTGTGTGTGTGTGTGTGTGTGTGTGTGTGTGGGTGGGTGTCCACCTCAATCCGGGCCTCCAGCACCCACAAAATCAATAGCAACCACTACCACCATCTCCAACACATCTTCCACCACTCATCTCCATCACTGCACTTAGTACTACCATCATCATAATCCCCAACATTCTATTTTCTAAATGATCACTGACTGACTATTGTGTCCACCAATACCGCCTGCAACCACCCCCTACCACAATATCAACCACCACAACCACAATCTACACCACCACCACCACCACCACTACTAACGGACACATTACGATCACCATCATCACAAATGTCAACACACGTCACCATTTTCACTATCTTTCGCCTTAGCACGCCCAACCCCACACACTCGGTCACCTTCCTAGTTCTTTTATCTAATCCTCCCTCATATTCCTCCCCCACTGTCACTTCTCACTATCACTTCTCACCACCATCATCTTTCATAACCACTCGTAAGCACGATTATGTTCACTCAATCACCAACATCTCGACAACTACTATAAAATGTCATTGCCAGCACCGAACTCTACGGATATTGCCACCCACATTTAACTAACTCGCCAGAGAACGACATTTTATATTTTATTTTATTTTGTGTGTGTGTGTGTGTGTATATATGTATATATATATATATATGTATGTATATATATAGCACGCATAGCATTTTGGGCAAGTCCTTAATCCTAATTTTCCCCGGAATACGACCCACCAAATCGTTTAACAACCAGGTATCCATTTTACTGTTGGGTAAACAGAGGCTACAGTTAAGGATTGACGCCCAGTAAATCCTCCCCGGCCAGGATACGAACCCAGGCCAAAGCGCTCGCGAAACGCCAGGCGAGTGTATTACCACTTCGCCACGGCGACTGCCAAATTATTACTATTATTAGTTATTATAAACAAATTATCTAAATCTGTGCCACTTCTTGGCAGTGTTTTAACAGCGTGTCCTCTAAATGGGCCTCGATAAACCCCCAACATTGATTGGATGGCACTCGAGTGATTTAGTTTTGTCTGCATGACTGCATTTATGTATTCAAGTTTAATATATAATTCATACATTCATATATCGATATATATATGTCTATATATCTATCAATATATGCCTATATATCTATCAATATATGCCAATATGTCTATCTGTGTATACAGGTGAGTGAGGGGTGGGTGGTGGCGGGCGGCCAATATATATGATATTGGAGGTACTCATATATCACACAGGAAGCTCATATACCATCACACAAAACTAATGGCTTTTTCAGTCCGCGTTCACTGTATATTTATAATATCAATAAATTACAAATACTTTCCACGATTGTGGTGTTATATGCAGATGTATGACAAATACATTACTTGCACCACAAGTTAATGTATCTTGTGTATTTGTCGTTTCAATATTTTATATATGGCATTATATTGTGGCACGGTTGGTAAAGCAGCAGTGTCGTACTTTTTGAGACTCGAGTTCGAGTCTCTGATGATACAAGTGTATGAAGTGTCTAATATGTGTTGTACTTTCGTATATAAAATTACATAATAATTAGTATTATTCATAGTAATACTTCGTAACCCACTTGAACTCTGTATTATATATGCGATACACAAGTTATAATTTCCTAATCTAAATGGTAAATGTAATTTGTATATGTAAATATAATGACGGAAGAGTTGTGGTGTGGAGCAGGAGGGTCGTGTCAGCTGTATCATGTGTAAAAGATGAGTATACTATGTATACTCTATGTATATTATCCCTTTTTATAAAAGGGGGGTTCTCTTATGACTACTTTCTAATAGCACACACACACACACCCATTATAATCAGTTGAGATATTTGTAATCTGTTAGCAAGAAAATGTTGGCCAAGTGTGTTCATAGTCATTTTTTATATATTAATTTATTATCTGGATCACGTTGCAGGAACTATAAAGTCTTTTACGTTTCCACCTAAATTTAATTTGTTTACTAGTTATTAATATGAATTTCTGGTAATATATACGTGTTAAACATTTTCCATGACAAAACACCGATCTTTATGAAATGAAAAGTTATACTAATTTTGGTATCGTTTTTAATACGGTGCATTTTCTGTAAAAGCTTTGTTGCAGTATTGTGTACCTGGCTCATGTACCGCTCACACGAGGTCCCTGTACCGTATCTCTCTCTCCTTCACTGTACCGTTCCGCTCACCACACACCAGGTGCGGGCTCTTGCTGCGTGTTCCACAGACCAAGGGACCAGATTCACGAAGCAGTTACGCAAGTACTTACAAACGGGTACATCTTTTTTCAATCATTGGCGGCTTTGTTTACAATTGTTAGACAGTTAATGAGCTCCGGAGCACCAGGAGGCTGTTTATAACAATATAACAGTTGATTGGGAAGTTTTCATGCTTGTAAACTGTTTAATAAATGTAAACAAAGCCGCCAAAGATTGAGAAAAGATGTACACGTTCGTAAGTACTGGCGTAACTGCTTCGTGAATCTGGCGCCATGGTCTGTGGAACCCGTTCCATGTTCCGGCTCACCTACCCAGTACTCTGGACACAAATTGTTATTTAACCCCCAATGTACAGTGTTCCGAATCCTCCTATACCTGGAGGTACTAAAGGTGACTAGGCACCCTGAACGATGGTCTAATGGTCCGGTCTCAACAGTCCATTAACCCAGGATGAATAATTTGGCGCCAAACTGCACATTTATCCCCTATACCATTTGGCTTTAATTGACTATTGATTGGCACACCTGTAGCGGAGGTGATGGTGCCTGTTGTCCTCCAGCACTCTGCTTGAAGTTGTTGCTAGGCACTGTGATGGCCCTGGCTCCATCAGGCACCACCACCACCACCACTTCCAGACTGTGCAACCAGTGCCGCCGTTAATGTGGGACTCCAGGTCAACCGTGGTGGGGTTCTAACCGTTCTTTTATACATTTACACAATATGGACGATGCTTCTTGAGGTTATCTTGAGATGGTTTTGGGGCTTTTAGTGTCCCCGCGGCCCGGTCCTCGACCAGGCTTCCACCCCCAGGAAGCAGCCCGTGACAGCTGACTAACACCCAGGTACCTATTTTACTGCTAGGTAACAGGGGCATAGGGTGAAAGAAATTCTGCCCATTGTTTCTCGCCGGCGCTCGGGATCGACCACGGGACCACAGGATCACAAGTCCAGTGTGCTGTCCGCTCGGCCGACCGGCTCCCTTTAGCTAGTTCAACCTTAGCCAGGACTCGCAAATACAGAGTAGTACGGATCACTATAATAATTATATGACCTCCCGTATAACGGTTTAGAACTGGGGCCCAATAATAAAAATCTCCATGTCGTTCGCGCTACAAAGGGTGGACGTGATTTCATTATCGTGCGTTAATAGATCACATTGAAAAGGGTATTTGATTTTCAGTACAAGCGTGGCTCATCACCAAGGGTCAGCTGATATTAGATTATATATTACATGATATTACTAGCAAGCGTGTGCGCACGCACCCACAAATTCCAGGAGGTCTTCACAATAGAGCAAGAAGTTCCTGAACTACGAGAGGGAATATCTAACCAGACTCCACTGGCGGAATTTGAGATTACCAGTGGGGAGGTAAGAAAGTATGTGTTTTAATTGGATGAGGCCAAGGCTGTAGGGCCCAGATACAACCTCACCATGGATACTAAAAGGAGCAGCAGAAACTCTGTGCCTAGCATTCTCAAAAGTGTATAACAAGTCACTGGTAACAGGAGAATTGCCAAAGAATTTGAAGACGGCTAATGTAGTCGCGATATACAAGGGAGACAGACAGGAGGCACTGAACTACTGTACAGGCTAGTGTCCCTAACTTGCATACCATGCAAGGTGATGGAGAAGATTGCGAGAAAAAAGTAGTAGAACATCTGGACAGAAAAACTTGGTAACACATTACCAGTATAGGTTCAGGGATGGCAAATCTTGCCTCACAGGATTAATGAATTCTATTCTATGATCAGGTGACAAAAATTAGATAAGAAAAAGAAGGGTTATCAGACTGCAGATTTTTGAATTGCCCAAAAGTCTTTGATACAAAACCCCACAGGAGACTTGTGCATAAGTTGGAGACGCAAGAAGGAATAAAAGGGAAGGTACTCCAGTGGATAAGGGAGTACCTAAACAAGAGAAGACAACGAGTCACTAAACGATGATGTCTCAGAGTGACGAGATGTCACTAGTGGAGTCCCACAGGGTTCTGTCCTTGGCCCTATCACGTTTTTTATATACGTAGGCGATCTCCCAGAGGGAATAGACTCGTTCCTCTCAATGTTTACTGATGATACAACAATTACAAGTATGATTAAACCAGAAGAAGATAGCAAGAAGCTACAAGATGACCTAGACAAACTGAAGGAATGGTCCAACAAATGGCTACTAAAGTTCAACTCAAGTAAATGTAAAGTACTGAAACTAGGTGGAGGAAGAAGGAAGCCAGACACAAGGTACAAAGGGAGTCGTAGTCCTCCATGCATCAGACAGAGAGAAGGATCATACCTAACCTGTCTCCTGAAGCCCACATAAAAAGAATATCATCAGTGGTATATGCGAGGCTGGGCAACATCAGAACTTCATTTAGAAATTTGTGTAAGGAATCATTCAGAATCTTGTATACCACATATGTAAGACCAATCCTGGAGTATGCAGCCCCAGCATGGAGTCCATATCTTGCGAAGCATAAGGCGTAGCTGAGGAAGGTTCAAAGGTATGCCACTAAACTATTTCCAGAACGAAGAGGCATGAGTTACGAGGAAAGGCTACGTGAATTGCTCCTCACGTCACTGGAAGGCAAAAGAATTAGGGAAGACATGATTACCAGATACAAAATTCTCAGGTGAATAGACAGGGTAGATAAGGACGGATTATTTAATACGGTTGGTACTTGCAGAAAGTGGCACAGGTGGAAACCGAGTACCAAAATGATCCACAGAGAAATTAGATACGACTTTATTGGGTCAGTAGTTAATAAATGGAATGCATTAGGAAGTGATGTGGTGGAGGCTGACTCCATACACAGTTTCAAATGTAGATATGATAGAGCCCAATAGGCTCAGGAATCTGTACACCTGTTGATTGACGGTTGAGAGGCGGGACCAAAGGAGCTGAAGCTCAACCCCCGCAAGCACAATTCGGTGAGCTCACCCACGCTGAGAGGACTGGTGTAACAACACAAGACTTGAGAGCACTGCACCTCATCACACTGGAAAAGAAGAATATGTAGCACAGTGGTCTACGTCCTCGGCTCACAACTGAGAGACCCAAGTTCAATTCCCCAGTGGGACAGAAACGGTTGGGCATGTTTTCTTTCACATGATGCCTTTGTTCAGCTAGCAGTAAATACCTGAGAGTTAGTAAACTATTGTGGGATAAAATCTGGGCAAATTCAGTAGTTGCCTTGGGGAGGGGTGAGCTGGACGCTTCTAATAACCGGCTTCCTGTCCCCAACAGTGAGAATAACAACACGAAGGAAACGGGAGAGCCAGGAGGCACTAAACTATAGCCCAGGGGTCACGATTCATCAAGCCCTTAAGACGAGCTTTAAGACGAACAACACTTAAGAAGTCTACATCTTTCCTCAGTGAAGGCGGATTAGTTAGTATTCATTAAAAAGGTTACGAGCTCCAAAGCTCTACGAGGTTGTCTATAACAATAATAACCTTGGGTCGTATATTTCAACATTCGCAAACTGTATAATTAATACAAACTAAGGCCGCCATGATGCAGAAAGATGTACAGGCTTCGTAATGCAAGATAATTATGAAGAGAAAGCGCTAAAGCAGTGTGTGTATATGTATATATAGCACACAAGGCTTCGTAAATGAACATGTAAATGAATCCTGGCCCAGTGCCACGCGGCACAGCTGACAGCATACGCTACTGAATAACTGGTACAATAACATCTAACAAAATGGAACAAATAGGTTCAGGACAAGAGCGTCGTGAATAACAAATCTAACACAGATCCATAACACGTTGAGGCTGATGAAGAAGAGGGAGTGAGGAGAAAGCGCCAAGACAATATAACTAAATATCACTATGAAGTGATCAGGATAAGGATTTGGGATGGGACGGGGGAAGGAATGGTGCCTAACCACTTGGACGGTCGGGGGATTGAACGCCGACCTGCATGAAGCGAGACCGTCGCTCTACCGTCCAGTCCAAGTGGTTAGGCAATGAAGAGGAGGAGAGACACACACATGAGAGTGGAGTGGAGCTTAAGACGAACACGAAGCTTTGGGTGAAGCCTCTCGTCCGATGCTCCCCCGTGACATCTCGACCATCCAGGACAAATGACAATAGTCCTCAACGTGCTCATGTACAGGACAAATAAGATAGGAGACAGACTAACAGTGAGGAGGGAGCCCTCAGGACTCCAACAATGGCCATATCGGTCATCAGTCTTAGGACCCGTTATATATATATATATATATATATATATATATATATATATATATATATATATATATATATATATATATATATATTAAATATATAATATTCTAACACGAATTTTCTCAATATATATATAATGAAAAATATATATATATATATATAAGTCATAAGTTATTACGAAATAGCTATATATATATATATATATATATATATATATATATATATATATATATATATATATATATATATATATATATATATATTATTTACAGAAGTGAGAAAGGTTGGTAATGTGAATGACGAAGGCAGTAAACTAGGACAGACGGGTGGATGGCTTGGGCAAGGTAACCAACTGACTTCAGAAATGGTTCCTTAACCTCAACCCAGCATGTGCAAGGTAATGAGAGTGGGTAAAGAAACAGTTTCACGAGTCATAACATGGAAATTAATTAGTATTTACAATGCCAAGCCCCATGAAGTCCACCCCCGCCTACCCTACCCTCCCCACCTCCCCCTACCCTCCCTCCAACCCGTTCTCGCACTTGCTTATAGTCAATATTGGCTTATCTAATAAGTGCATATGTGACATACTAATTGATTGTGAATATTTTAGTTTACCTTGAAATGCTTCATAGAAAACACCGACCTCACCTAACCTTCTTAGTATGCTAAGATAAGCATCTTATTGCTTCTTATTTACAATTATTACTTAACCTATACCGTCCCTCCACCCTCCCCACCCCTCCACCCTCCCCCACCTCTCCCCTCCACCCCCTAGCTTCCTTCCCCACCCCCCCAACAATACCTGGAGGTGGAGGGCGTGTCGTTGAAGGTAACCTTGTGCTTGACCCCAGGCGAGTGCTTGCGCTTGCTCCAGGACCCTTCCCCGCCAGGCGGGGGCTTGGGGCGCAGCCAGTAGATCTCCTCCTCCTCCCCGCGAGCCTGGAGGGGGACAGGGGAAGTGGGGGGGGGGGGATTGAGGCAGGGGTTGTAGAGGAGAGATGAGGGTACAGAGGTGGTAGGAGAGATAGAGGGTAAAGGGGAGAGGGGTTAGAGATGGAGGGAGGGGAAGTGGCGAGAGGTGGGATGGAGGAGCAGGGAGGGGGAGAAGGGGATGCAGACGAGGTGGGGAGGGCGCGGGGGGCAGGGAGTAAGGAGGGGATGAAAGGGGAGTCAGGTTAGTACAAACATCAATAAGACGCCACACACAAACCCAAGGTGTCTTACCATCATGCTAATTAATAACAACAGTTTAATTTTATTCATGAAAGGGATGGAGAGAAACACTGAGGGAGACTGAGGGAGAGACAGAAATTGAGGGAGAGAATGCTGAAGTGAAAAGCACATATGGACAGATATAAATGGAGGTATAAACAGACGGATAGACAGATCGACGGGAGTTAAAGACATGAAGACTTAAATTGAAAGTTTGATTTGAGGGCTAAACAAGAAGATGGAGAACTAGATATATGGGTGTAGATCTAGCCATACGGTGTGTTAGATGATATGATTGATGGTGTGATAATGTATTTAAAAGTTGGAGTGATAAATGACATGATAGATTTGCGAGAGATGGTGTCAAACATACATGATGCGATATTGATATATGTGTGACAGATCACTCTCTCTCTAGCCCTGTCACAGACACAGACCTAGAGGCAGTACCGTCAATACAATCAACACCAAAATAAAAAAAACAAGGTGTTCACTTACAGGAAAACATCCCCAAGGACAAACAGTGAACCGAAGTCACGTCTCACTCAACACACACACACGAACCACGTTCAGATTTACAACCTCCCTTTCCTGGGAGCTGTTGTCACCCAGGAGTTCTGGGTGACGCTCTCTGCTTGCAACTGGAAATTATTATACGAACACATGTAAAGCAAGGTACGTGGAAGCCAATACAATGAACACACACACACACACACACACACACACACACACACACACACACACACACACACACACACACACACACACACACACACACAATGATAAACAATTACAGATGAGACCCACACATGAAGGGAAGGCGAGAGACATTGAGAAGAGAAGAGGTTGAGACCCACATGGATGAGCTATGCTCAAGGGTAAACAAAGGTTAATCCACCCATTAAATATGTTAACAAATTATGAAAGCAAGTACAAGTGTAAATACGACTGGCTGCAAACATGTGACGTAAACAGTTTACCTTCTTCTGCGTGACGGTGTGCATGACGAGCTTCATCAGGGACCTCTTGGGACTGCCCTCCTGCAGCAGGTAGGTCTTCCCCGCCCCGATCACCATCACCGGGCCCTCCGTGTCCTCGATCTGGGGGGATACGAGGAAGACCACTTATTACAGCTTGCTAGGGAGGCAGGGCGAGGAGGACAGGTGACAGGGAGGGAAGAAGGGCTGCTGAGAGAAGGGGGAGAGACAGGCAGGCAGGGGAGAGAAAATAAGAGGAGTTATAACTGGTTAAAATAGATACCACGTGGTCAAGGGACCACGTGCTTTTGTTGTCATGCGTGTCAGCTGAGGCAGCCTCCGTGTTTACATGTACACGTCACATGTGTGTGAGAGAGAGAGCATCTTACCTGCTTGGAGAGCTGGACCTCGTTAACAAGTCTGATGGAGTGAGTGCTGGTGACGATGGTCTTAGAGATCTGAACCCTCAACTTGAAGTGCCATCGAGACTGTCAAATATAAACGGAAATAATATTATCATCCCGTCTTTCAAGCCGTTTCATTAACCACCTTCAAGGAACTTATTAACCTAATTGGACGTTTGAGATTAATAGTTAGTTATTCACGGGTATTATAATTTGTTACGTATTAATATTGCATATTAATTTCTAAAGTAGTTATATAATTGATATTATGAAGTAATTATCGAGATTTCTTGCGGATTAGTTACGCAGATTTAACAGGAATGAATTATACTTTTTAACTTACTTTTATATAGCATTTGATAGATAATAACCATTTAATTCCATGGTAAATGATTTCTATGGAAAGATTACACTCATCGTATAGAACTGAGAATAATATGTTACATTTGTTTAGACAATACCACACTAAATGGCTGCAGAGAGTAGAAGTGAGAGAGGAAATATAATTAAGGATAGTAGTAGCAAGCGGCGTACCAGAAAAAAAAACAGCCCGAGGACCAACAATGTTTCTCATGCATTTCTCACTTGACCTGGGAAATATGATCCTCCACATCAATGTTTACCATGATGCAAAACCGATGAGAGACGACTCATAACAGGACGACGACTCCAAGACGCTCAAGCTGGACTTGGATAACCAGTGATATATGGTCTCAAATGGCTGCTCGACTTCATTCCAATCAAATGCAAGTTAATGAGATTTAGAACGTTGATGAGGAAGCCAATGAGACAGTACAAGATAAAGGAAAGACAAATGAGACAGAAAAAGGGGACAACAATATGAGAGTAGATATAATAGTATGCTGTCACCGGTGGCCCAAGCCAACCAGACATCATCAGCGGCACAAGCAAAGCTGACAGACATTCGTAAAGCCTTAAACATGGAATCTTTCAAGACGTTGAACAGTACCCCGGTTTGACCAATACCAGAAAATACAACCCCAGCGAGGAATACCCAGCTGAAAATGTGCAAAGCAAAAGTAAAGCAATTACAGAGGTTTGCTAAAGGACTGGTCCCGGAACTGTGGGGGGTGAGGTACGATGAAAGGCCGAGAGGCTTGACCTAATCCCGCAGGTAATGGGTGACGGAGGCGGTGCAGGAGGAGTCTCCCTCGGGTGTTGGGAGTAATGATACACTACCATTGGTGTGTGTGTGTGATCTTTGGCCGCAGCTATATTATCTGAAAAGATTCTCAGTAATAAGTACGCGACTGTGGGATGGAGGTTTTGCGAGGGATGGAGGGAGAGGGAAGGAATGGAACGGAACTATCAGGGGAGGGAAAGCGCCGAGCCATCACGACTATATAGCACTTAGAAGGGGTCAAGATAAGGATTTGGGATGGGACGGGGCGAAAAGGAATGGTGTCCAACCACTTGGACGGTCGGGGGATTGGACGCCGACCTGCGTGAACATTACCATAGCTTACCTTGATGGTGAGGATCATCCAGAGGACGATCCAGACGAAGAGGTGGATGATGGTGGCGATGGAGGCCACGAAGACAGAGGTGTCGAGGGAGGCCCTGTACACCACCGTCCAGTCGTGGAGCAGCGGGGAGGCCGCTGCTGTCATCAGCACCAGCAGCGTCAGTCCCCAGCACTGTGGCCAGTAGCTCCATGGTGTCTGCTGGCCACACACACGGGGTCACACGAGGTCACACGGGGGGTCACAGAGGATCACATGGGGTCAATACATCGACATAAAGAATTGACTATAGTGTTATTAATATCTTAGAGGAGGCTTGAAATGATAATGTAACAAAAGTCATGACTATTTCATTAACATTGAAACTAAATCAGGTCAACTGGTAGTACTTGTGTACATTTACTGTGGTCCAGCCTGCTGGTCGTACATTAATTACATGATAGTTAGGCACGTACACAAGATGGGGTAAATGTAATCATTGGGATATTTAGCACGGAGTGAAAGTTGACGCTGGAGAATGTATAACATCTCGATGTTCACGTCTTTAGTGGGGGGATGAGTTGATCTATGTAGTCCTGTTTAGTGTTCACTACCCGCACCTTCACTACGTTATCTTGAGGTTATCTTGAGATGATTTCGGAGCTTTTTTTAGTGTCCCCGCGGCCCGGTCCTCGACCAGGCCTCCACCCCCAGGAAGCAGCCCGTGACAGCTGACTAACACGCAGGTACCTATTTTACTGCTAGGTAACATAGGCATAGGGTGAAAGAAACTCTGCCCATTGTTTCTCGCCGGCGCCTGGGATCGAACCCAGGACCACAGGATCACAAGTCCAGCGTGCTTTCCGCTCGGCCGGCCGGCTCCCTACCGACGTTGAACAAGCGTCCGTTACAGGATAACAAGCAAAGATCAGGTTTACAGGACTGTTATGCGTCACTCTGAAATATGACCTCACCTTGAGTGACGCGTAATTAAATATCCGGTACAACATTTACCAGTATTCTCTTACAGTCCTGAACTATCCTAGTGCCTTTGTATCCACTTTGTAGCGGCTTACATACACACGTGAAACACACTGTAGCATCACAACTCTTCTTTACAGACTCATAACCTGGACAATCTACAGTTTGCCTCGAAATAGATAGATGAATTTTATGTCATTTTAAAACTTAAACCATCTGCATGGCTCATCATGCATAGTCAACCACTGACGTCACTTGTACAATGTCCACATATTAAACCAGTAAATTTTGAGACAAAAATGGATTGTATTAAGCTTCATGCTGATTGGTCTTGGGTTTCAAGACTTAAATTGAGAGCAATATGGAGATTGTATGAGGGTGTTTGGAGGCAAGGCGGTGGTGGGAGGAGTGTACACAGACCTGCCAGGGTACCCGTATAGATCGGTGTAGACCGTAGCCCCGGGGGGGGGGGTAAGGCACCCGGGGGGAGGCGCCACGTGGGAGCAGGACAGGGGGGGGGCGAGTTTGTATTAAAGGGGTTGAAGAGACTCGGAATAATAGCCCAATGTTGTCACAGTAAATAGCTTGCTTGATCACTCTGTCCCTCCCTCCTCCCTTCTCTCTCCTACCTTCCCCTCTCTCTCCTCCTCTCCTTCCTCCGTCCCTAACTCTCCCACGACTCTCCTTTCCTGTCGCTTACTCCTGACTAGTATCTTCTTACCTTCCCCCTCCCTCTCTCCCTTAAGTTTTTGTTTCATTAAAGACATCTCTCTCAGTGGCCTCACATCTTAGGCATAAATATCAACAACCATTTATCTATGGGGAAAGGCTCAGTAAAGGGTTGTAATTGGTGGGCCTTCTGCCTGTTCACTATAATGAGCAACCATTCAACTTGCTCCACTGACCCCACGTCAAGGACCAGCAACAACCAATTAACTTTCACCATGACTCCCGACAAAGCGCTTAATGGTGGAACTTCGTGTCACTCAACACCAATCAAGTTACATCACAGCTGGGTGGACGATTGTAATTGGTGCAACTTCCCGTCGCTCAGGATAAGGATTATCTAATCACACACTTGATATCAGACATGGTGTTTGGAAGCAAACTACCCACGTACTTTTCCACCTTGCCCGGTTAAGCGACATCGAGGTGGACTTCGATGTCGCCCCTAAGTGTCGTGAGATGATCCTTAAAAGAGGCCTTCCATTCTTGCAGGCAGACTAGGCCTCCTGAAGTTGGAAAGTGAGCATTCCCCTACGGGGCCTCTTGGGCAAGCCCTGTACACACTGTATATATACCCCAGAGGTCTCTTGGGAGAGTAATCTACTCTCTGGAACGTCTTAGAGAGAAAAGTTATGCATATAATCCTATCTGACGGCCATTAGTGTTTCACAACTTGTGGAAAATTAACATTTTTAACCATTTACCTCGTAGATCTTTGGAAAACAAAACGGTGAACTTTAGGAGTAAGAGTAATGGGAACGATACTCTAAGGGATGAGGCGGTGATGGGGCGCTGGATGACAACGAAGGAACGCTGGAGTATAGCGAAGGGGCGCTGGAGTACAGCGAAGGGGCGCTGTACCCATTCAACCAATGATCTGATATTATACCAGCAGCCCGACCTACCCACCTGGTGACTCACAGTCACCCAACAATCACCCACCCACCAGAGGGCTCACCCAACACCCACCCACTCACCCACCCACCCACCAGAGGACCCACCCAACACCCACTCACCTGGTGGCCGTGTTTGCTGAGGATATGATACTTCTCCTTCTCAGCATTGAGGAAGGCGTTGAACTTGAGGAGGCCGTAGAAGTAGAGGACGGAGCCCGAGGCGAGCACCAGGGTCTGGGAGGCGCTGAACACCGCCACACACACCGGCAGGGGCAGCAGGAAGCCCTCGAACACCGGCAGCACGTGTTCCGCGCCCACCACGTGCACCTTGTACAGCACCTGCTCCAGGAGGGCATTATGGGGTCAGCACCACCGCAAGGATGACGTAATAACAGTAAACTCTCACCCTCAGGCTACATAATAGTAAACTTTCTCACCCCTCAGACTACACAGTAAACTCTCACCCTGAGACTAGAGCAGTTTAAACTGACAAGAAGTCAGCTTTATGACGGGGAAAACTTTGTTGGAAAATCTAGGAAAATGCACAAACTCTCGCCAAAGGAAAAAATAAACGCGAAAGAGATGGAAAAATCTTCTACGTTTTAAAACTTGTGAACAAATGTGTGGAGTTGTGGTGCCCAGGCGAACCTCCGCCACCAACTACGGTGGTGTAAAGAGCTTACTGAAGGGTGACAAAACTATAGTGTGTAGGAGGGTATAGGAGAGTGTGGGCTCACTCTGAACACCGGAGTGTTCGCCAGGCTAAGACAGCTGTTAAGGTGCCACCAGGCGCTGAGAAGGACTCGTCTGGTTCGCCAGACGCTGAAGGCACTCACCTGGAAGCCGGAGATGGCGAAGATGTTCTGGGCGGCGTTGAGCAACAGCTGCGAGAAGAAGACGAAACCGAGCCCCTTGTTGGTCCCCCAGAACACTCCGGCGTACCTGAAGCAGGAGCACGATGGTTTACGGTCCTCAGGAGGGAGGGAGGGAGAGAGGTGAGGGAAGGAGGGAAGGGAGGGAAAAAGGGAAGGAGTGGAGGGACGGTGAGAGGGAGCATTTGTACATTTCGGGTTAAGCAAAACAGTTGCATTTGTTACCGTCAAAGTGAGAGACGTGGCTGCGGTCAGAACTTAAACTCCGACAGAAATAATTTCCAAATTAACCCTTGTATACCTGACTATGATAACTACATTTGATAGTCAACCGTCACACCAGCTAGCGGGAAGTTGACTGAGGAAAGTTTAGCCTCCAAGACTCGCAGCTTGGATCAGTTAGTCTATCATGAGCCGCTGTCGCCCTCTTACCACAGTACAGAGAGGATGGGAAGCTGACAGTCACCTGTCAACTATCCTCCACCTTCTCAGCAACTCACCTGCCGGCGTAGACGAGGTGGGCGAGGAGGTAGTTGAGGAAGTGGGGGGAGAATGGGCCCCAGGGGATCTCCCCGATGTGCCACATGTCCTCGTCCTCGTCGTCAGGTTCCTCCTTCGTCACCTCCGGCGCCTGGAAGGTGACCGATGCCGAGGCTTCGTACCGCAGCGCCACGGGGTCTGTGGTAGGGGCAGACGGGAGAGGGAGAGGGAGAGGGAAAGGGCGAGGAAGAGGACGAGGGAGAGGTGGAGGCCGAGGAAGAAGGAGAGGGCAAGAACGAGGCAGAGGACGAATGAGAGTGGTAGGATACAGGAGTGTGTATGTGATACCAAGAGAAATGTAGATAAAAGAGAAGGAAGGAAGGAGGGTAGGGGGAGAGTAGAGGTAGAGGGGGGAGAGTAGAGGTAGAGGGGGGAGAGTAGAGGTAGAGGGGGGAGAGAGAGGAGGGAGAGGGTTATATATTGAGAACATTGACAAACAGGATAGCATCTATTAAATAAACAGAATATTTTAGCGTCAAAATTAAGTGATGTTTGAGGAGTGTTATTTCACTCCTCCTGACACACTCTTATGATAACACCTGAGCCACACAACAGCCAATGATATCATTGAGCCCCACAACAGCCAATGATATCATTGAGCCCCACAACAGCCAATGATATCACTGAGCCCCACAACAGCCAATGATATCACTGAGCCACACAACAGCCAATGATATCATTGAGCCCCACAACAGCCAATGATATCACTGAGCCCCACAACAGCCAATGATATCACTGAGCCCCACAACAGCCAATGATATCATTGAGCTACACAACAGCCAATGATATCACTGAGCCCCACAACAGCCAATGATATCATTGAGCTACACACCAGCCAATGATATCATTGAGCTACACAACAGCCAATGATATCACTGAGCCACACAACAGCCAATGATATCACTGAGCCACACAACAGCCAATGATATCATTGAGCTACACAACAGCCAATGATATCACTGAGCCACACAACAGCCAATGATATCACTGAGCTACACAACAGCCAATGATATCACTGAGCCCCACAACAGCCAATGATATCATTGAGCTACACAACAGCCAATAATATCACTGAGCCACACAACAGCCAATGATATCACTGAGCCACACAACAGCCAATGATATCACTGAGCTACACAACAGCCAATGATATCACTGAGCCCCACAACAGCCAATGATATCATTGAGCTACACAACAGCCAATAATATCACTGAGTCACACAACAGCCAATGATATCACTGAGCCACACAACAGCCAATGATATCACTGAGCTACACAACAGCCAATGATATCACTGAGCCCCACAACAGCCAATGATATCATTGAGCTACACAACAGCCAATAATATCATTGAGCCACACAACAGCCAATAATATCACTGAGCCACACAACAGCCAATAATATCACTGAGCCACACAACAGCCAATGATATCACTGAGCCACACAACAGCCAATGATATCACTGAGCCACACAACAGCCAATGATATCACTGAGCTACACAACAGCCAATGATATCACTGAGCCCCACAACAGCCAATGATATCATTGAGCTACACAACAGCCAATAATATCACTGAGCCACACAACAGCCAATGATATCACTGAGCCACACAACAGCCAATGATATCACTGAGCCACACAACAGCCAATGATATCACAGCGCCACACAACAGCCAATAATATCACCGAGCCCCACAACAGCCAATGATAACACAGAGTGCAACATACCGTCATTAAGTTCGTAATACAAAACATTAAATAGTTTAGAGACCATTAAACCAGGTAATTTACTCAGACTCTTGTCTGGTTTAGACTATTTTCAAACTCGTTAAGGCGGGCCCCGTTCTTCATTACAAGGTCGTTGGGTCATTACGAGGTTGTTGGGTCGTTACGAGGTTATTACGTGGATACAATGAAAGGGTACATTGTGGTACTATTAGAGAGGTAGAAGGGTACAATGAGGTACAATCACGGAGGTTACTTGTACTTGTATCCTCTTGTTACTGGGTAACAAGGGTATACAGGTACAAGTAGGCCTATAATAGTGCACTAAAGAGTACTAGAGTACAAGAATGGGTAGGTAGGGGGGGGGGTTACTAAGAGTGCATATCAGGGCATCATTAAATACTAGGAGCTTCACTCGAACATATACTAGAAGTGGGAACACCATGAGGGGTTTCAGTCGTTAGTGGCAAAAGGCTATTGGCGAATATAATTACTAGAAGGGGGTTTAAACATTTACTAGGAGGTAACAGTGTACAAACACACAGTATTCAGAGAGAGAGAGAGAGAGAGAGAGAGAGAGAGAGAGAGAGAGAGAGAGAGAGAGAGAGAGAGAGAGAGAGAGAGAGAGAGAGAGAGAGAGAGAGAGAGAGAGAGAGAGAGAGAGAAACAAAATGCCACAAAGGAACATAGGAACATAGAAAGATAGGGCATACACAGACACTAGTGAAGATGGAAGCTTATATCAAGACACACCACGTAGTGTACAAGGGGGATACATACCTGGGGAGGGAGGCGCAGTGGTGCCAACGAGAGCCGCTAAAGATTGGAACATCTCTAACCTCTCCTTCTGCGGCAGGACCTTAGACAACTCCGACCACCACACAGTACCTGAGGGAACCAGCAGTTAGTACACGCCGTGTGTGTGAAACAGTAAACATAAACAATTCCTGGCCAGATCTTCAACTAGTCCCACAAATATGTACCGCCACACGAGGCTGGAGATCAACACATCTCTACTGGCATTGACACATGAGACGGGTCCTGCTACTAGGTTCATTTCGCGCCAAAACCACACTGGACTGTCGTTGGTGTAGGCCAACGACAGAGTGGCGGGAAGGGTACAGGTGAGCTGGGATGGGTATAGGTGAGCTGGAAAGGGTACAGGTGACCTGGAAAGGGTACAGGTGAGCTAAGAAGGGTACAGGTGAGCTGGGATGGGTATAGGTGAGCTGGAAAGGGTACAGGTGACCTGGAAAGGGTACAGGTGAGCTAAGAAGGGTACAGGTGAGTACCAGTGACCTGGAGAGCGTGCCAGCGTGGGTGGGTAGTACCAGTGATACCTGCTTGATACCTGCTTGATGGGGTTCTGGGAGTTCTTCTACTCCCCAAGTCCGGCCTGAGGCCAGGCTCAATCCTCGAGTAAGGAGTGATCCTCTCCTTACTGCGAGGCCTCGTAACGACCAGAATAATTCCCGCCTCTGGGTACATAATTGAAGTAGTTTATCAGGTCTTTAAGAAATTTGATGCTAATTTGGCACTGTCAATCATCATCAAACCAATCAGTTAGGTTCATCTGGAATTATGATTAGTAATGATGATATATCACGTAATTATCTATTTATGTACACATGAGGATAGTTACCCCTTGCCCAAGTCTACTCCACTCGCCTGCATATATTATTGTCTGTAATTTCTTTAGGTTATATTTCTAGTTATCCTAAAAAACTCAGCTGTAACCGAATTCGAAATTAATTCTATCCCGCCTCATGGAGATTTAAACAAAAAGGGCCACTGGAGTAGCAGTATTATATAACTAATGGTATACCAGCATGGTATACCCTATACCAGCGAACCTGGGTATAGTTGAACCCGGGACCACAAAAGAACAAGGGATACTTTCCGTATATATGAAAATATTACATATTTTTCTCTTCAATTCCACAATCCACATATCCAACTTTCGTCAGATAATTCCGTCTATACACAAGAGTTATAAAACCATTTACATCTTCCCGTCCGATATTCGAATTGAACTAAACTGTTACCCACCATCAATTCCCATCCCGCCAAACACACACCGAAACTACGCCGTTGGTACAACGTTCGAACAAGTTTTAACACCTAACCAGTTATAACAACCAATATAGCAAGTTGTAACAACGTTATAATACGTCATAAACAGGCTAAGCCAAGATGTAACAACTTTATTACAAGTTGTAACAAGCAGAAAATAGAGACAGTCTCGGTTTGTGTTTCCAGGGATCAGACAATCAATTACTTCAGCACTCGGTACCAGTGTGTCCAGGCCAGAGTGGGCCTCAGTAAACAGTTGCTGGACCTGAGGTCCATTGGAAAGCTTCAAGGGTTCCAGGGTGTGTTTATCTACATGTTATAGCAATACACACTCGGGTCGGGAGTCTCCAGGTCGGCTGTGTTCACCTAGTTGTGCTTGCGGGGGTTGAGCTCTGGCTCTTTGGTCCCGCCTCTCAACCGGCTGTGTTCACAGCTCGGAGATGTCTCACGGCAGAATTCCTGTCAAACACACAGGGTGAGCTGGGAAGGGTACAGGTGAGCTGGGAAGGTTACAGGTGAGCTGGGAAGGGTATAGGGTGAGCTGGGAAGGGTACAGGTGAGCTGGGAAGGGTACAGGTGAGCTGGGAAGGGTACAGGTGACCTGGGAAGGGAACAGGTGACCTGGGAAAAGGTACAGGTGAGCTGGGAAAAGGTACAGGTGAGCTGGGAAAAGGTACAGGTGTTATACGACGTTGGTACAACGTTCGAACAAGTTTGAACACCTCCTAATCAGTTATAACAATCAATATAGCAAGTTGTAACAACGTTCTAATATGTCATAAACACGTTAAGCCAAGATGTAACAACTTTATTACAAGTTGTAACAAGCGGAATATAGAGACAGTTTCGGTTTGTGTTTCCAGGGAATTGTATCCCTCTTCCACTTGTTAGTAACTTGAGCCACATCTCTACAACTCAATTTCGAACCAGTGCTTACCTATTTTTGTTGTCTAAATCTACGTTTAGCCAACTTGAATTCACCGATTCGTATTCTAAGTTGAAGGACAGTGGTCTTCACTGTCACACTTCTAAAATGTAATTTCTTGCTATACGACTCTTTAGGGAATATATAATATAGTTGTTATAGCCATGAGGGAGGTTCCTGCCACTTGGGATGGATGTGATCACCCTTAGCTTAGCACCCTTAGCTTCAGGGGATCCGGTCGGCCGAGCGGACAGCACGCTGGACTTGTGATCCTGTGGTCCCCGGGTTCGATCCCGGGCGCCGGCGAGAAACAATGGGCAGAGTTTCTTTCACCCTATGCTCCTGTTACCTAGCAGTATAAATAGGTACCTGGGTGTTAGTCAGCTGTCACGGGCTGCTTCCTGGGGGTGGGGGGCCTGGTCGATGACCGGGCCGCGGAGACACTAAGCCCCGAAATCATCTCAAGATAACCTCAAGATAGCTATATATTCAGAGGAACTTACATTCCTGTATGGTGCCCCAAACTGTATCCCATAATCATAGAGACAGACCACGGTCGGAAGACATCATTACAGTTCTTATTAACAACGACCTCGATGAATTCTAATTGCCAATTACACATATCTATTATTTAATAAAACATTCAGTGATCATTCATTGCTAGAGTGATACAGCAGGGAGTCCAGCGAGCATATTATAGCTCTCATAGTTGGCTTCAGCGTCATTCAGTAACTATCAGGGCTGTAAGTTAACAATATACCATATTGTTAATGGTAGTTAATAACCTTAAAATAAATGAGCTAAGCTCAGGCTTCAGATGAACTAATGTAGGATAAAATCCCATTCTTCTCAATAGGAACACATCAGTGACATTCATAATAAGCACTAGCTTTGTTGTGAGAGAGAGAGAGAGAGAGAGAGAGAGAGAGAGAGAGAGAGAGAGAGAGAGAGAGAGAGAGAGAGAGAGAGAGAGAGAGAGAGAGACAGAGAGACAGAGAGAGAGAATGATAGAGTGATACAAAAACTAGAGGAAGAGACTGGAAGAGTTGAATATTGGAGACTAAGGCGGTGGGTAATCGTTCAGCTGTAGATAACTTCCAAGTGTGTGACATATTTGCCATCCGCGCTGGATCACCCAGACGAACTCCAGATGTGAACACTTATCCAGGCGGCAGAATATGTCCCCATTCCTTGCCTGTATTTACCTGTAGTTCCCTGTGTTCACCCAGCAGTGCTGCCGGACCTGTTAGTGAACCCCCTCTCCTAGCGGCTCACACAACATGGTTACAAATCAGCTTGTAACGTGTACAAATACATAAACATACATACATGTATTTTGACCTAGTGAAAGGTATGACAAGAGAATTATAGACACAAGAAAGGAGAAGCAAGAGAAAGCGACAAACAAACACGATTTATATACCAAATTAAGAGAGATTTCTCACTCCGCGAACCGTAAAATCTATATATCAGGTCATTTGGGGTCAAAGAGAATCACCGGCAGTGCAATCCGTCTATCATTAGCAATCCTCATTAATTCCTGGATCTGTCTCCGTCAACTAGCGGGCCGTAATAGATTGCTTCAGCACCTAATTAACTTCCGTGTCTCTCGCTCCAGAAAAGTGATGAAATTGGCAGTTAGTCAAACTGTGAATTTCCCGAGTCATAATTCCAGGGATTTTCGTTAATTTGTGATATTAACGAAAGTTCGCTTCTCGGCTTCGTTATGAGTTGGTTAGTCTCGTTGGGTTGTTTGCTTGTTTGTTGTTTTAAAGGTTTGACATGGTGTTTATTTCTTTATATTTGTATGTTGTTGAAGATTCGCTACCTGGAACAAAAAGTTCTAAGTAGCACGGGCTATGGTGAGCCCGTAAGGGAACTTTGTTTTGGGTAAATGACTTTGTTATGCTGTATTTTAATATGTACTATTTAAGATAGGGTAGGGTACTATATGTACTATTTAAGATAGACTGTTCAACACGCTTCCGCTACACATAAGGAGCATTACTGGCAATCCCCTCACAGTGTTCAAGACAGAACTGGATAAGCGCCTCCAAAGGATACCTGATCAACCAGGCTGTGACTCATACATCAGGCTGCGAGCAGCCGCGTCCAACAGCCTGGTTGATCAGTCCAGCAACCAGGAGGCCTGGTCGACGACCGGGCCGCGGGGACGCTAAGCCCCGGAAGCACCTCAAGGTAACCTCAACGTAAGGGTAAGGGTAGGGGGTAAGGTTAGGGTAAAGATAGGATAAGGTTAGGGTAAGGATAGGGTAATGATGGTAGGTAGGATGGTAGATGGTATCCTTAGATGGTAGGATAAGTTGATTAGGTTCATAATGATAAAATCTCTCTCTCTATCCCCCCGAAGCTGGAAAAAATATTTTACACTTTCTTCAACGTATTATGTTTCAAGTTGTTCCTTGAACGTGACTATGTTTCAAGTTATTCCTTGAACGTGACTATGTTTCAAGTTATTCCTCAAGTGTATCATTCACTTTACACCCTCCCCCCCACTCCGTACTCTCGCCTAATACGTCGTATTTTGCACGGAAACAACCAATACGTTAAATATATTACGAATTATTACACATTAAAGCATCGCAATAATGACTTTTATTCATCCATTTTAGCATGGTGAGAGGCCCGCTAGTTAGGCCTGACATGTACACAGCTATCACGCCAAATAACCACTCTACGTCTATGCCTAAATGTTAAAATAATATATATATATATATGTAGGCCTAGTACTTATTCTCATAATTAGTCTCTCTACAACTTACATTTCTTTAGATAAATACTAGAGCCCAATATTTGGTAATGAGAAGAACCATATTACAAGTAGGAAAAACAATGTTTACACATCCACGAGAGGGAGAGAGAAATATAT